ATTTTATTTTATTTTATTTTATTTTATTTTATTTTATGTGTATGGGTGTTTTTACCTGTCTGTATGTCTGTGCCCTTGAAGGCCAGAAGAGTATGTCAGATCCCCTGGAACTGGAGTTGTATGTAGATGTTTGTAAGCTGCCTGTGGGAATGAAACCTGGGTCCTCTGGTAGGGAACCAGTGTTCTTAGCCATTGAACCATCTCTCCACCAACTCCTGCTCTTTTCTTTTCGTTTTGTTTTTTTGTTTTCCGAGACGATTTCTCTGTGTAGTTTTGGTGCCTGTCCTGGATCTCACTCTGTAGACCAGGCTGGCCTCGAACTCACAGAGATCCACCTGGCTCTGCCTCCTGAGTGCTGGGATTAAAAGCGTGCGCCACCACTGCCTGGCACTCCCGATCTCTTTAATGATAGTGTAAAAATTGTATTTGTATTCATTTGATGTGTGTGTGGTAAATTTTGGTCTCCTTTAGACATTTTTTAGTGCCCAAAGAAATATTTCCATTTTTTCTAACCTCCAATTTGATGCCTGACTCATAGTTTTCACTGTATATTGATTACGTTAGTTTTCTTTTTCTGTCAGAAGTTTATAATTTGGCAAATTGGATGCATAAGTTTCACCTGCAATAGTGACTGTATCTCAGGAGGAAAGTGACATGTTTGGAGTGGTACCTCCCCATAACATCTAGTTCATAGTAGAATTCATCTTCAGATATTATGTGTCTGTTGATATTTTTTATTTTCCTGTTGTGGTTTTATCATATTTATGCTCAGCACCCTGTTTAATAAATAAATTTATTATAATTTAAATAATTTTTAAATAAATAATTTATTTAAATAAATTTTATTTAATGAATAAATAAAACAATATCTTGAGATGTCAGAAGCTTAGTATATTTAAGGCAGCTAAAAGATTTGACATGTAAATGTGATGTAGGAACTTGGTTTGAGTATTGGATCAGAAAAAATTTGGTTTAAAGGATATTATTGGGATTTTTTCACGGCGAAAAAGTTGAATGAGGTAGATTAGACACCAGCATTGCATTAATGTCCGCCTCTTTGATTTTGATGCTTTTGTTCTGGTTAAGTATCCCGAGGAAATGTCTGTTGAGAGATAAAGAACATGGTGTGCACAGTTACTGTAAGTGGGCCAGAAAAAACTCATTTTTATACCTGGAATAACAGAGCGAATGTGGTAAATCTGGGTGGGTGACACATCCCGGTAGCCCTTCTGTGCATGTGGTGTTTTATAAAAATACCTCTCGGAGTGGAATTCCTGAGTCATACTCTCTGAATGTTTGATTCTACTCCACAGTGCTGAAATGCTTTCCAGTACAGTTTTACTAATTAGATCCCTGTTGGTTCCCGTTTCCAGAGCACTTGATATGACTGTATTGTTTTGGCATAGCGTGCGTCTCTCGGGCTATAGCGAAGGTGCACGTCTTTTCAGAGTGTTGCGTCATAAAGGCTACTCTTGCCGTGTTCTTAGCTGCTCTTACTGAGCTTTGAAGTTCATTTTTTCTGCTGACTTTTTGTATGTCTTAGTATATGCTAGAAATCTTCTTTGTTGATCTTCTGGCGTCACACACTTTTGAAGACTCTTGACTAAAAATACAGAACTGCAGTACATTTTATTGGAGTTGCAGGGAACAGACTCGATGGGGGCAGAGCAAACCCTGCATATCAGGTGGGTGGGGCTGCCGAGCTGCCCTGTAGGCAGACTCTTCTCCCTTAGCTCGGTGACATAATCAACCCACAGTTGCGTCCTCTCATCTCTGGCCTTTCTCAGAAAGGATCTTTTCAGGAGGTATAGCAACTGTCCCTGGTGTATTTTATTCAGAGATTTACTGGCTAGCTTTGCTTTCTCCCCTGGTAGATATTTAAGAAATATATAGGTTGCTAAATCCCGAAACTGTTGCACTGCTAAGTATTGGCCAGGACTTGGACACAGTGCTCTCTGCCTCAGCGGCTTTGCAGAGCCTGTGGAGCAAGAGGGTAACTCGGTGGGGACACAACCTTGGACCGTCCACTGGCACTAACGAAAAGCAAGAAAGATTTGACTTAACTTAAAAAAATAAAGACAATCCAATAAGCATGCAAGAACATGCTTTATTGTTCTAATTATTTTGATAATAAACTTCTTTATTGTTATAATAAGTTATAATCAAACTATTAGATAAAACAATTAGGCAAAACCACACACACATTCTCTCTCTCTCTCTCTCTCTCTCTCTCTCTCTCTCTCTCTCTCTCTCTCTTCTCCCCCCCCCCTGTGTTAGTAGTCCTGTAAGGAAACTAAAAATGTCCAACTTCTTCTTTATAAAAGACACACACCCCACAGAGCTGGTGACTGTCCTAAACACAACCTGACTTTTAATTTCAAGTCACTTTTTCTTTCTCTCCTGCTGTGTCTTGAACCCAGAACAGATGGGGCTTGACATGATGGGGGCCGTGAGGGCATGAAGAAAGGACAGACACACAGACAAATGTACAGAAAGCTCGCTGTGCTTGCTCTGATGGAGTGAGCCTGTTTGACATCAACAACTCAGACCCTCAGGGCACTCGTTCTGAAGAACCCAGGGAGGAGTCAGCTGGTCCTGGTAGGAAGTGTCTGCAGGTGGGCAGTCCCAGGTTGCAGTCATCTGGGAGGGAGCTGGGGTTGCTAGCTTTTACACACACCGGCCAATCACTTGGACTAGAGCAGTGGTTCACGACTTTCCTAATGCTGCGACCCTTTAGCTCAGTTCCTCATGTTGCGGTGACCGCCAACCATAAAATCACTTCATTGCTACTTCACAGCTGTGATTTTGCTACTGTTATGAATCTTAATGTAAAAATCTGATACTCAGGATGTCTGATCTGTGACCTCCCAAAGGGGTTGAGAACCACTGGGCTAGAGGACAGCTTTGCCATCTTCTGAGCCTCACTCCAGGAAGGCTTCGCCAGTGTCCGTGGGTGTGAGGTACTGGTGTCCTTGACATGGCTGTGCCTGTGCCAGCAGTACACATCCACCCAGGACTCCATCCACTCCTTACACATCCACCCAGGACTCCATCCACTCCTTACATTACATATCCACCCAGGACTCCATTCACTCCTTACACACCCACCCAGGACTCCATCCGCTCCTTACACATCCACCCAGGACTCCATCTGCTCCTTACATTACATATCCACCCAGGACTCCATTCACTCCTTACACATCCACCCAGGACTCCATCCGCTCGTTATAGACCCACTCAGGACTAGGACTTCATCCCGTCCTTACACACCCACTCAGGATTTCATCCCGTCCTTACACATCCACTCAGGACTTCATCCCGTCCTTACACATCCACCCAGGACTTCATCCACTCCTTACACACTCACTCAGGACTTCATCCCCTCCTTACACACTCACTCAGGACTTCATCTACTCCTTACTCATTCACTCAGGACTTCACCCACTCCTTACACACTCACTCAGGACTTCATCCACTCCTTACACACTCACTCAGGACTTCTTGGGCTCCCTACACTCCCCTAGTGCACCTGCTGTTATTCCTTCAGAACATTAAAAAGAAAAAGAAAGAAACATCCCATTCTGGTAAACTTGGCTTTGAAAATCCTTTGAATTACTTTCTTTAAGGAACATAGTCTCAGTGGAGAAGAAAATCTAATGTTGTTGCCCAAAGAGAGGCATGTTTTCTTCTTGGTGTTTTTCTATGTAAATATATTTCCTGACTTAGCTATGTTTAAGATCTGGTCTCTTTTCCCTTGATACTGGAGCCGTATTAACCGTGGTGCTGTGTATCCCTGGGTAGAGTGCTACAGGGAACATCTTCCCTGCGTCTCTTAGGGAACATTTTAGGAGCAGGATTACCAATCCTCAGCAGAACTCTTTTAGTCTTTTCCCGGTTGAGTCACTTTTAAAACGGGCAGCAAGTCGTTCCACTTCACACAGGGGTACCCTTTCAGTCACCAGGCTCTATCATGACATGAAATTACCTATTTACTGACACAGGTTGCTCCTATCAATCTAGTTGCGCTTTGCTTATTTTTCTGAAATGTCTGTGGTTTCCTTTTGTTTTGAGACAGGATCTCATTATGTAGCTCTGGCTGGCCTGGAATTCTCTATGTAGACCAGGCTAGCTTCAGACTCATAGAGATCTGTCTGCTTCTGCTTCCTGAGTGCCTATGTAAAAGATGTGTGCCACCATGCCTGGCTGTATTTTCTTATGAAATATTTTTGGCAGTACTGAGGATTGAACTCAGGGCCTTATACACACTAGGCCAGCATTCTATCACCGAACACGCACCCCAGCCTCTTATTAAGTTATTTTTATGAAGTTGCTGGGTAGAGGTCGCTCTGTGGAGATGCTGTGGCCTCACCTCTCCCCACCGTGACGTGACCCCTGCTCTAACATCTTCCCGTCGCTCACGTTGAAGCTTGTTTTCTGTGTTCTGTGCAGTTAACATTGCCCCTTGAGGCAATCCCTCATCGCTCCTACGGTGTTTTCTCATGTCCTGATGCTTTCTTTCAAGGTATTATCCAAAGAGATGAGTCACCCATGGAAAAAGGGCTCTCTGGTCTTCGAGGAAGGGACTTCGAGCTCTCTGATGTGTTTTATTTCTCCAAGAAGGGCTTGGAAGCCATTGTGGAAGATGAAGTGACCCAGAGGTTCTCCTCCGAGGAGCTCGTATCATGGAACCTCCTCACAAGAACCAATGTCAACTTTCAGTACATCAGTCCGAAGCTCACGATGGTGTGGGTGCTGGGTGTCCTAATACGCTATTGCTTTCTGCTCCCTCTGAGGTAAGTCACTGCCTGGTTGGATGATGCCACCAGCTTCCCTCTTCATTATGTGTGGAATGGCTGCTTGAGAGTATGTGGAATGGATTCCACCTCTTCCCGGTTGGAAGACACCACCAGGTGTGACCTGCAGCCATGTGTTTGTTACCTGTACACTCCTTCTTCCAAATGAAGAGTGCGTTCAACCCCCAATCTCTCTCTCTCTCTCTCTCTCTCTCTCTCTCTCTCTCTCTCTCTCTCTCTCTCTCTCTCTGTATTCCCTTTGTTCCTATAGTGGTAAATAATTTGAGGACAGAGGCAAAAGAGAAGTTAGAACAAGAGGGGCATGGGTAGGTAGATCAGTCAATAAAGTACTTGCCAGGCAAGCATGAGGACCTGATTCCATCCTCACATGAGCTGAGTGTGGTGGCCTCTGAGTGTGATCCCACTGTTGGGGAAGCAGAGACAGGTGGGTCTCTGGGGCTCCCTGGCCAGCCACTCTAACCTACTTGGCCAGTTTCAGGCCCGTCTTAAAAACAAGGTGGATGACGGTTGAACAATGGCCTGAGAGACTGCTCTCTGATCTCTATCCACCTGTGTATGCCCACACAGGAACATGCACTCACCTCCACACACAAAATGGTTTCATATGTGCCATAACAGCAACTAAAGAAGAGCTGCCTGCAGGAGTAGCCTCTCTTTGGTGTGTAGAACTGAGAGGTGGGTAGCAGAGAACAAGTGTTCCCAGAGACCCTTGCCGCACTGGAAGAGCCATTCAGTAGTATGTCCTTGTTCCATCCAATCCTATCACTGCCATTCAGTTCTTGTTTTTGTTGTCGTTGGTTTTTCAAGACAGGGTTTCTCTGTGTAGCTTTGCGCTTGTCCTGGAACTCACTCTGTAAACCAAGCATGCCTCAAACTCACAAAGATCCACCTGCCTCTGCCTCCCGAGTGCTGGGATTAAAGGTGTGCGCCACCACTGCCCAGCGCCATTCAGTTCTTAGTAAAGATTCCCATACCTGGATCCTCCTTTGATTTGAGGCTTGAATACGGCCTCATCAGCACATGACCTCAAGATAGTAGATGACACCCTTCAGGGAGATGACAGTGTGGCCATGTCTCTTTATGGTGATGGCAGGGAGCAGGCCTGTGTACCAGCCACAATGTTGGTCATTTTTTCATTTTCATAGCTATAGTTTCCAGGAGTTGCTACCAGCCAGCTGCCATTGGCATATGAATCGAAACCATGACCAGACGGGTGATACTGGCCTCCTTCAGATCTAGCACAAGAGACAATGTGTTTACTTGTAAGTTTTAGGCATTGCTTAAGTATAGACAGACACAAGTCACTAAGTTCTGTTTCCAAGGGTGTGTGTGTGTGTGTGTGTTTTCCTGTGTCCTAACACTGGCTTAGACTGTCTTTTGGGAGTTGTTGCGGCTGTGATAAACAGTGAAATTCAGGACGGCGTATATATTATTGCTAGGACCTTGACTCAGTGCTTCCAAAGTGGGGTTCAAGGATTCTGGGGGTGCACTAAACTATGTGTTGACATTTGGGAAGGAAATATTAGACCTTTTTTTTGGAGGGGGGTTGGCTTTTTTCAAGACAAGATTTCTCTGTGTAATAGTCCTGGCTGTCCTGGAACTCACTTTGTAGACTAGACTGGCCTTGAACTCACTGAAATCAGCCTGCCTCTGCCTCCCAAGTGCTGGGATTAAAGGCATGTGCCACCACCACCCGGCAATACTAGAACTTTTAATTTTTGTTTGCTTATTTGATGCTTTTTGAGACAGGGTCTCATGAAGCCCAGGATGGCCCTGAACTTGCTATGCAGTAGTGAAATCTTTAGGCTGTGTCCCCACTGTCCGGCAGATGTTAACAGTAGTGAATTCTTTAGGCTGTGTCCCCACTGTCTGGCAGATGTTTGCAGCAGTGAATTCTTTAGGCTGTGTTCCCACTGTCCGGCAGATGTTAACAGTAGTGTATTCTTTAGGCTGTGTTCCCACTGTCCGGCAGATGTTAACAGTAGCCTTCTTTTCTTTTTCAGGGTTACTCTGGCTTTCATTGGGATCAGTTTGCTGATCATAGGAACTACACTGGTTGGACAGCTCCCGGACAGCAGGTGATGTGTCTCCCTCCATTCAGCCCCACCTCATGTAGGACTGCCCCCCCCCCCAACGGTGTTCACAAAGCTAGAATCTGGCTAGTTTCTAGGTTCATTAATTTTATGGTCTTCAAGCCATTTATGAGAATTCTTACTGAATTCATCTTCATAGTCTTTGGTTTTTTTTTTTTTTTTTTTTTTTTTTCTGTTCAAATTGAAAGGTAGCTTTTTCAAAGGAAAAGTGAAAGGAAGAAAGAAAGTGGACTGAGGGAACCAAAGGAAAAATAGTCTTTGACATTGGCAGCCTGGGAGGTCCAGACCAAAGAAACCTCAGCTGGTCTTTCAGGATTTTTCAGAATCTAGCGGGGTGGGGGCTCCTTCCTGCTAGAATTGTGTCTACTTCTCCTGGTTCACGTTGGGCCTGGCAAATGCATAATTGAGCTGGCAAGAAACCCTCTTTGCTGAAGCGGAACACAGGATGCTGCTGTGAGCCGCACATTGAAGCTTTCATTGTGTTTCTTATGAGTACCCAGAACAAAATAACAGAAGGGCTTCTTTTTCTTTCAGCCTCAAAAGCTGGCTGAGTGAACTGGTGCATCTGACCTGCTGTAGGATCTGTGTTCGGTCCCTGTCCGGCACCATTCACTATCATAACAAGTGAGTGTCTGCCGTGGCTGCCCCGACCTGGGAACGTCTGTGGTCATCATTGCTTGGGTTTTCAGAAGGAAGACAAAAATTAGCAGAGTGGTGTTCATAGATGGGCAGTTATGGTGTGCTGTGGGGGTGAAGTCCTCATAGGTTACTCCTGGGGGGTGGACACTGCTATCCCATGGGATAGACAGATGAATGATGGGAACTCTGGATCTGGTTGCTAAGGGTGGTACAGATTCAAAGTCAGGTTTTGAGCTGGGCGCAGTTTTGAAGATGCTGTGTGGGGGACCAGCCTCCACCTTTTACAGGGTTCCTATGAGGAGGAGAGAGGGATAAGAGATATTTGGTAGAAAGAGAGACCTAGTTGACAAGAGGAAAAACAGAAACACAGGAGAGCTTCAAGAGGACCTGGATCCTTATTCACTGGCCCAGAACTTTATTCAAAAGGGCTTTTTATAACAATGCCATGGAGTGAGGCAAAAGACCTCCCCCTTGCTAGACACAGCCAAGTGTAGACCCTTCCAAACACCTGGTACCCAGGCCCGTGGTCCAGTCATCCTCTTATGCAGTCCTGCTGGGTAAAGCAAGCTCAGCTCTCACTAGGAAACCTCTGTGGGCTCCCACAAAGCTGCTTCTGGCAGTCCTGGGGTACGGCGGAGGCAGAGGCCTGTTTTCCACACTTAGTCTCCCCCTGTCTAAAATTCTCTACCTAGTTCCTAAGATGAAATACTTTATTCTGTTCTCTTTACCCACAATCAGAGAATACAAGTAGCTAGGGAAAATAATCAACTAAATTAAAATGATTGTGATTGATTTTGAAATACTTTTCTCTTAATTTAATGTTATTATTATTTTTTTAAAATTGTTATTATTTTAAGTTGGTTGAGTGTGGTGGCCCACACAGTAATCTTAGCATCTGGGAGGCTGAGGCAAGAGAACCAGATGTTTGAAGCCAGCCTGGGCTATAAGAGACCCTTTCTCAACAAAGTAGCATGTTATACTTAGATCAATCAACATTAATTGAAATAGTTGTGATTAAATAAACAAAATATGAATTATAAAGAGAATGTCATGGTTCCTCACAGCTCATCATACTACATGGGGATAATGTTTTAAAGATGGGACCTATGTACCTAAAAACTTAAAAAAAAAAATCCTAAGTAAGATAAGTCTTTACATGCTTTTCTGTAAAATATTGAGCATTTTCTGAGGTGTTGTACTTACGGTTATCTTAATTGCAGGCAGTACAGACCCCAGAAGGGAGGCATTTGTGTTGCCAACCATACGTCTCCCATCGATGTCTTAATCTTGACAACGGATGGCTGTTATGCCATGGTAAGAGCAACTCAATGATATTTCAAGTATGTGTATTTGCTGGATTGCAAACTCGAAAGTTAGTTTCATATTAGGAATTTGGCTGGGACTTAGCAGTATAGGCTGTGCAGTACATTTACACAGGGAACAAACAGTGCAAGAAAACAGCTGTTAACAGAGAAGGCGGGAAAACACCTTGACAGAACTTTGTAAAGTTGATTTGAACATGCCAACAGTGTTTAATTACACTGTATGAAATTAAAGCCATCCTCTTTTAGAGTTTTACAGATCCTAGTCAGCCAATTAGCTCTCTCTTCAGGGAGATAAGTGCAATTAAAAAAAAAAAATCTGCTTCTTTAATGAGGATCTGGCAAAGAAGGCAGAATACTTGTGTCTCCGTCCAGTTCTCAGATTTTGACCACAACCTCCAAAGAAAGCAAAGAGCAGAAAATCCAGTAACCATGGAGCCCACAGCAAAGCCAGGTCCCTAGTGCCCTAACCACAGAGCCCACAGCAAAGCCAGGTCCCCAGTGCCCTAACCACGGAGTCCACAGCAAAGCCAGGTCCCCAGTGCCCTAACCACAGAGCCCACAGCAAAGCCAGGTCCCCAGTGTCCTAACCACGGAGTCCACAGCAAACCCAGGTCCCCAGTGCCCTAACCACGGAGTCCACAGCACAACCAAGACCCCAGTGCCCTTTCTTGGGCCTGAAGAGGAGCTCCACTCTGGGGTCCCCCCCCCCCCCGCATCTTCTGTTGCTCTGACAGGTCATCTTGACATTTCCTCTGGGTGAATCCCAGAAGCTGACTCAAGCTCCCCTTCTGCTCACTGGTTAAATGTGTCCTCGGGAGGTGTGGAGAACAGGATGACTACTAGATACTAGATGTCCTGGGCTGTCTCCTCATCTCACAGCTATGGGTTGTGGATGGTGGGTCAGGCTGTGAGGCAGAAGTCAGGTTTGGTTCACCCGTCAGTTCTGCAGATTGATATTGGTGGCCTAGGGTGCTTTTCTGGGAAAGGCTTCCTGGTCAAGTGTGTGCTGTGAGTGAGCAAGTGGCGAGTGCCAGCATGGACACTAGTTTTCACTATCCATGGGTTCTGTGATCAGCAAGGCCTTTGCAAAAATTCCCACTTACTGTTACATGTTTGCTTAAGTCAGTGGCTTCAGATGTGGCTCAGTGGTAGAATACTTGTCTAGCACATGTCAAGCCCCAATCTGTCTCCAGCACTGCCAGAAAAGCAGAAAAAAAAAGTCTAAATAAAAAAGTACAATCTGAGGCTGAGCGGTGGTGGCACATGCCTTTAATCCCAGCACTCGGGAGGCAGAGCTGGGCAGATCTCTGTGAGTTCGAGGCCAGCCTGGTCTACAGAGTGAGATCCAGGACACAGAGAAACCCTGTCTCTAAAAACCAGGGAAAAAAAAATACAACCTGGACATGGTGGCATATTCCTATAATCCTAGCACTCGGGAGGAAGAGAGGCAGGAGGATAGCTGTAAGTTTGAGACCAACCTGGACTAATATGGCAAGTTCCAGGCCAGTCAGGGCTGCACAGTGAGACCCTGACACACATACTCATTTCCCTACCAAAGTAAATAAATAAGTGAAATAAAATACTGAGAATAGATAACTCTTAGACAAGTCCTTTTTTAATACATCATTAATTTAAGCTTTTCTTGAACCTAAAGAATCTTTTGTCATCTTCAGGAAAAGAGATAGGAGTTGGTTGTTTATCTTTTGGTAGATTGGGAATCAGTTGATAGTTATATACTTTGAAAAATAAAACTGGAAAAAACACACATATGTGTCATACAAACACAATTTTGAATATAATCTCAGTATTTAGGTACCCTCCCTAAAGCCCACCCAGTGCACCCCTCAGTAGAGGCCCTGAACGGGCCTGGACATTCACATCAGCATTTTTTTGTGTGTGTGGACATGCACTTTTGTGTATGTGGACATGCACATATTTGATTTTCTCTATGATGCAGTTAAGTCAAGCCTGAGATTTCATTGTAGGTTGGGGAGGTGGAGACCTAGGCAGCTGATCTGCCTATCTCAGGTCCATCTTGTGCTGACCTAACAGAGTATTGCCGATGGGATAATTTGTGGGGAACGGAAGTTATTGGCTCACCATGCAGGCTGAAGATTTAAAGTCAAGATGTCTAGTGAAGATCTGATTGTACTGTCTTCACATGTCAGAAGGCCTGGAATTACAAAAGGTGGTCTGCTCCCAAGAGCATCGCACTTTGTAGAGTTATTTATTTTCATTTTATATATGAATGTCTCGCCTGTATGCACATCTGTGCATCAGAGGCATGCAACTCCCTAGGAGGACAGAAAAGGCAGTGGGTTCACTGTAACTAGACAGTGGTTAGCTGCCGTGTGGGTGTTGGGAACCAAATCCAGGTCCTCTGCAAGAGCAGCAAGTGCTCTCAGCTGCTGAGCCATCTCTCTAGCCTCAGCAAGAGCCCTTTTGCTAATGGCTCTAACTGTTCATTGAGCAGAGCTGTTGTGGTCCAGACTGCTCACATTAGGTCCTTTTCCAGCACTGTTGCACGGGCACTCAGTTTCTAGTCCATGGGTTCCGGGGGATGTGCTCAAACCACAGAAATGGTTTAACTAGGATTTTGTGTTTCTGAGACCAACCACCCCCTATTTCTCCTGTGCTCTGGCCAACAAAGAATTGATGGAAATACATTTGAAACCGAAGACCTCAGAATATTGTTGGTCTCTTTGTAGGTTCCTGACGTTGTTGCTTGGCTATTTCTTCTTGAGGGTTAAAAAATGCAAACGTGTAGCATGAATCTTAAATGGTCTTATTAATAAAATCAAACCTGAGGCCAGTTATTGGAGTGAATGCTGGAAAATCAGAGAAGCAGAACAAGCCACAGCTACCTCACCTTGCCAGTTCCTCAGCTGTTCCTGTTTCCTCAAGCCTGGAAGCCTCTGTGTCTTCATCCGAATGGGTCTCAGCTGAACTGTGCTGCTCAAAAGCCTGAAAGCTTAACCAGCCAAATGCTTAACTAGTCAAATGCTTCTAGTTTCTGGTCTCCATGCCTTATATATCTTTCTGTTTTTGCCATCACTCTCTGGGATTAAAGGCATGTGTCACCATGCCTGGCTGTATCCTTGAACACATGGATTTTTGCCTCTGGAATGCTAGGATTAAAGTGCTACCACTGCCTATCTTCTATGTTTAATATTGTGGCTGTCCTGTTCTCTGACCCCAGATAAGTTTATTAGCATGCACAATATTTTGGGGAACACAATACCACCACACTGGAAGCTTCTGAGTCCTCATCCAAATGGATCTCAGCTGAACTGTGCTCAAAAGCCTAAAAGCTTAACCAGCTGTACATCCTCATCCTCATGCCTTAAATACCTTTCTGCTTCTGCCATCATTCCCTGGAATTAAAGGTGTGTGTCACCATGCCTGGCTGTTTCCAGTGTGGCCTTGAACTCACAGAGATTTGGATGGATCTCTGGCCTCCCAAGTGATAGGATTAAAGGCGTGTGTGCCACCATTTTCTGGCCTCTATATCTAGTGGCTGTTCTGTTCTCTGACCCCAGATAAGATTATTAGAGTGCACAATATTTTGGGAAATACAATACCACCACACAAACGTATCATTTCATTTTCCTCTTGCCCCAAAGATGACACACTTTTCTGTTCGTTTGCCTTTGTCATTTAACACCATTGTCTAGAGATCATCACTCCTTATCTGTCCTGTAGGTCAACCTTATCCTTTGTTCAGCTGCAAAGTATTCTACTGTGTATATGCATGTGTATGCGCTCTCTCTCTCTCTCTCTCTCTCTCTCTCTCTCTCTCTCTCTCTCTCTCTCTCTCTCTCACACACACACACACACACCACCACCACCACCACCACCACCACCACCACCACCTCATAGACACTATTGGTTATTTCGGCATTTAGGTAGTTTTCAGTATTTTGCAATAATAAACAATACTATAGCTAATAATCTTTGAGTATGTATTTTCATTTTGTTGATGTGTTTTCAGGGAGAATTTCTAGAAGAGAAATGATTGAAATAGAGGGTAAATGAATATGTAATCTTGACAGCTGTTAATGTTCTCATTCCTTCCCCCAAAGCCTTGCAGCAGAGTGTGGTATCAAGGCTAAATCCCGGTCATTCGGGTACACTTGAAATCACATTCCATTGTGGCTCTGATTTTGCATTTCCATAATCTTTTTTTTAAAAGATTTATTTATTTATTATGTATACAATGTTCTGTTTGCATGTATCCTTGCAGGTGAAGAGGGAGCCAGATCTCATTATAGATGGTTGTGAGCCCCTATGTGGTTGCTGGGAATTGAACTCAGGACCTCTGGAAGAGCAGCTAGGGCCCTTAACCTCTGAGCCATCTCTCCAGCCCAATATTTCTTTGTTGTTGCTGACGTTTCGAGGTCTGTGTTTTTCCGCGTTCTAGGACGGCTGGTTGTTTCTAGTGTTTGTCGTTTCCCGCTATTTTTTTTCTGTTTTCGGGTGCTTTTTGTCCTGTGGTGGGTTTTGCAGATTTCTTTTCTTTATTTCTCTTTTCCTGTTGTTCTTGGTGGTGTTGTCTTGTGTGTTTTTGGTGCTGTTGATTCTCTGTGTTGAGGGTGCCGCTTGCGGGTTTTTGGTGGGTGTGTCTTTTTGTTTTTCTGTGTGTGTTGCTTGTTCTTGGTTTGCCAGTTTGATGTTGGGTTGGTTGTTTTCATTCTGAGAGCTCTGTTTATGTTTTGTTTACAGGTTTGGTTTGCTCTGTTAGCTATGTGGGACCGAGTCTTGTTTACTTTTTGTTCAACAGTGGCGTTTCTTGTCCTTCCTTGGGGTTAACTGGGCTGCTTGTTGCCTTGGCTCATTTGGCCATATGGTGGGACAGCCTTTGCTCTAGGCAATTTCCAGGCTTTGCCTGTCACCTACTTCTGGTTACCTTTTTTTTTTTGGTGTGTTTCTTGGTGCTGGAGTGGTTTTTCTTTATTGTGTGTGATTTGTTGCTTTTTTATAGACAGCCTGGGCCGCTGATGTGTGTGTTTTGCTGTGAGTCGAGTTCCTTGATTTGGCTTTTTAACGTTTACTATTCTGAGGTTTTGCCTTTCGTGCATGCTTGCGTTGTTTTCTTTGCTTCCTGCTTTTTTTTTTTCTTTTTGCTGTTTGGGCAGTGTGCCTGGTATTTTAGTTTCCCGCGTGCTGCTCAGCTCTGTTGTGCGTTGTTTTTCGTGTTGCAGGGTTCATTCCTTTTTTTGGGTAGGTTTTGATTTTGGGTCCTGGTTTCGTGGTCCGGCGTGTTTTGTTCCTTGTCTCTTTTTTTTTGGGTGGTGAGTTTTGGCTAGCTTCCACGTTTGTGGCGTCGGTGGTTTGTTGACTTCGTGGCGCCGGTTTCTGGGGAGGGTGTGGCGGTGGCAGGGTTTCTGTTTGGGCACTTTGTGCATTCACCGGGTGTTGTTAGTGCCGGAGGCGGTGGGTTGTCTTTTCTCAGCTGGTTGTTTGGAGTCTGTGGACGCTGTGTCAGGTCTTGCTGGCTTTGGGGTGCTGTTGTGTTTTTGTGGGGGTTCATGGAGATGATGTTGTTTTGGACCTGGGTTCTGGTCGCTTTGTCTGCAGCGGTTTTGTTGACTTGTTGTTGTTCCTCCTGACTTGTTTTTGCTTCTGTGTTGAGGCTTTGCTTTTCTTACTTTTGCTTGTTTCGCGTCCTGCTTTCTCTTTGTGCGCAGCGGTCTTTTTTTTTCTGGCTGTGGTGTTTCATTGGGTCGGAGTGTTCTTCTTGGTGATTTGTCTGCGTGGTTTCTTGCTTAACCATCATTTCGCTGGTTCTGTGCTTGTGGCTGTTGAGAGTGGTCTACCTGCTCCTTCCCTCCCTTCCCGCTCCGTGATGCCGTTTCTCTGGCTTTCCTTTTATTTCCTTGTGGTCCTGTCTTGTCTGAAACTCGGTGGGTTCTGCCTGCGTGTGTCTTTCAAGTGCTGGGATTCTGTGCGTTCCCTGCCAGCATTCCTGTGTTTTTTCCTCTGGGTAATTCCCCTCAGGTAGTGGTATGGGTTCTTGTTTTTGTCACCTGTCTTTCTTTTGCTCTCTTCGTCGTGTGGTTGGCTGGCCTTGGTCGTGCATGTCTTTCTTCCTTTTGTTTGTAGAGTTGTTCCAGTTGTTGAGGTTTCGTCTTTTGTGGCTGTGTAGTTGGTTCAAGGGGTGCCTGATCTTGTGAGCCCGTTTGATGTGTTGCGTTTGGTTCCCAGGCCCTTCACTGTGGAGGAAGTGAACGTGTTCCGATCTCTTTTTTTTGTCCTTCCTTCCTGCCTTTTTGTTTGTCTGTTTTTTTTCTTACGCCTTTTTTTTCCTGCTTGTGGTATGTGTTATCTGAGAATTTTTTGTGTCTTTTTGTTTTTCTGTGTTTTGTCACGGCTTTTTTTTTTTTGTTTTTTGATTTCCCTGGTTTGTGGTTGTTAAGCATGAGTTTGCTCTTTTATTCTTCCCTGGTTGTTGGAGTGTGCCTTTTGAGCTGTGGTTGTTGTTTGGTCTCTTTTTTTTGTGGGTTTTTTGTTTGTGGCTCCGCTGGGTGGGTTCTGTTGTGTTTTCTTTTCTTGCTTTTTGCTTGGATGTTTTTTCTGTTTAATGTTCTGGCTGTCCTGTCTCTGTGTCTCTAGGTTTTGTTTTGTTGCTGTTGGGGTTTGTCTTCGTGTGTCTGCCTGGTGCTTGTTTGTTTGAGTGGTTTTTCTGCCGTTGGTGTGGCTGTTATTTGAGTTTTAGGCGATTTTTCCTTGTTGGTTTTTGTGTGTGTGTTCTTTGGCTTTGTCTTTGTTGTTGTTTAACTGTATTCCATCTTTAGTTGGTTTGCTGGGTTTTTTGTTGGGCCTTTGGTGGCGATGTGAGATTTTGGTTTTTGCTTTGGTGCCATGTTTTCTGTTGTTTTTCCAGCATGGTTTGACTTGTGTCGCCGCCTTAAAGTGTCTGCAGGTTTGCTGTTGTTTTCTTTGTTTTATAATTTTTTTTTGTGCTGGCGTGTTTTTGTAGTAGTTGGGGGAGCTTGCGTTTGTTGTTTTTGTTTTGTTTTGTTTTTCTTGTTTCGACTGGTTTTCGAGGCTTGATTCCCTTTTTTTGTTTTGCTGTTGATGGCCTTGCACGTCTGTTCCTCCTTGTACTGATTTTTAGATGCTTTGCCTCTAGGTTTGTTTTTAACCCTTGGTTTCTTTCGTCCTTTGGTTTGCGGGGTCCGTTTTTGGCTTGTTGTTCAGTTATTGTGTTTACTCAGGTACGTTTTGAGGTTGGGGGTTCCTTGTTTTGAGTGGCTGTATGTTTCCAGTCTTGGTTTTGATGGGTGGCGCTTCTGTTTGTTTTCTTTATTTGCTTTTGTTTCTATTTTACCTGGTGCATTGGTGGGGAACGTTTGTTTGTTTAGCTTCTTGGTGTCTTTTTGTTTTTTCTTTGTTGTCCTTTTTTTTCGTTCGTCTCTGGCTTGGTGGTTTTGTGTCTTGTGGTTGCTTTTTTCCCAGTAGACAGTTTGTTTTTTAGATTTGTGGGTGTATCGTTTTAGGCAGTTGGCCGTTCTTACAGTGTGGCGGATAACGTGAGTATGTAGTCTCTTTTGTTTTAATAGTCATGTTATAGTGGTGGGCTAATCTGATTTTTTTTTGTTTTTTTGTGGTTTCTAGTTTGGTGTGGAGTCCTTTCAGTTGTTTTCTTTGTTAGCACTGTGGACTGTTTTTGCTTTGTTGTTTTTATCTTTTTTTTTTTGTTTTTTTTTTTTTTTTTGGGACTGATAGGCTCATTTATCTTACCACCTGAAAAACACTGACTTGGGTGAGAGAAGCCGGCATGGAATTCATGGCTGGAATGTCTTGTCTTTCATTTTCTCTAGTATAACCCTCAGTTTGGTGACGCATTCTGGAACAGTAGTAAATACAACATGGTGAGCTACTTGCTTCGAATAATGACCAGCTGGGCCATCGTCTGCGATGTGTGGTACATGCCTCCCATGACCAGAGAGGTATTACTGAGATAACTTCCAGTCTTTGATGCTTTATTTAGTTAGATAAAGACAAGAAAACCTTTGCCTACAGCCTTGGGTCTTTCCATTCCTCCCATCATGCTTTTCTCCATTGGTAATGAAAGGGTTGTTTCTTAGTAATGTATTTAGTTCTATAAAAACAAATAAAAAACGATTACGAGACATTTTAAGGTGTTTAGAAACTTCATACTCAAGATGTGTAACTTTTTCATTTACCCAGGAAGGAGAGGACGCGGTGCAGTTTGCGAACAGGGTTAAATCGGCCATCGCTGTCCAAGGGGGGCTGACTGAACTTCCCTGGTAAGTCCTCCCAGAAGCACGCTCTGTGTATTCAACAAAACCGCACTGGTTAGCTATAGATTTAGCAAGAAGTACGTCACAAAGACTTAAGTAGGGTGAAGGCTTGACTCTCCCACTTAAGCCCCAGAGTCCAGGCTGGCTATCGGCTTCTCCTTTATTCCTATCCCAACCTCAGTAGGCGCTTCTAACTCATGGCCCACGTGTGCACAGCAAATGGCCGGCTGGGGGCCTTTGAAAAGGGACACACCTGTCTCCATAGGTGCACACGCTAGAAATTGCACATGTAACTTAAACTTGTTATCTCTCTGCTGCAAGTCTTGGGGTAGCGGTTAGCTGCAAAGGAAACTGGGTGATGCAGTGTTTGCTCTGGATGACCATGTTCTTAGGTAAGATGAGAGTTCTTTTACTGAAGAAGAAGGAGAGAAAGGGAGCTTGGTTGGGGGGGCGGGGCTGTTTGTGTTTCACTGTCACTGTATCAGAACACTTAAGAACTGGAAGAAAGGAAGTGGAATATTTTGGTGAAACTTGGGCTGCCATAACATAATACCAGAGTGGTGTCTTCACAGAATTTGTTTTCTCTAAGTTCTGAAGGCTAGAGGTTTGAGCTTCGGATGCTGCACAGCCAGTCTCTGTTGAGGGTTCTTCCCTGTGTTTCAGAAGGCTGCTTTCTCCATTTCTCACATGACCTTCTCTTTGCTCAAGCCCGGAGAGAGCAAGTTCTCTCGTGCCTGTTGCTATGAGGGCACTAACCTCACTCTAAGGGCCCCATCCTTTTGACCTCACCTGACCCTAATGATGCCCTAAAGTCCTCATTGTCAAATATTGTCACCCTGGGAGTTTGCCTTCAATCTATAAATTTGTGAGGATAGAAATATTCGGAGTAAAGCAGTGAACAGTGAGGGTTAACTAGACCCACCATGTAGTAGGAGGTCCATCCTTGTATGAGTGAGCTGAAAAATATTCGGAGTAAAGCAGTGAACAGTGAGGGTTAACTAGACCCACCGTGTAGTAGGAGGTCGATCCTTGTATGAGTGGGCTGTCATCAAACGGTCTGTATGTCAAGTTCAGCAAATTCAGTGAAATCTCTATGACCTTTTTGGATGTTTCAAAACACTTTATATGATGAGTTCAATTGAGGCAATTGTAGTGTTGTTCTAGGATTTGATTTCTGTGTTAATGGCAACCAAGAACATCCTCAGTGTAGGGGCCCAGGATTATTTAGGGACTACATCTTTTTTTTTATTTAAATATATTTTATTTTATTCTTGTGTGCATTTGTGGTTTTGCCATGCATGTCAGGGTCCCCTGAAACTGGAGTTACAGACAGGTGTGAACTGCCATGTGGGTGCTGGGAATTGAACTCAGGTCCTCTGGAAGAAGAGTCAGTGCTCTTAACCCCTGAGCCATCTCTCCAGTCCTAGGGGCTACATCTTTAAAGATGGGCTGGCTAGCATTTTATATCCCTTTATCCAATAGTAGGGCATGTCACTAAAATATATTTTGCCCATTCACCTCTCTTGAAACCAGTTAATTTATACCACCCCAGCCTATTTCTGGCAAACACTGTGCTTTTTTGACACTAATTTTTATAGGAAAAAAAGTCATTTAGAAGTATGCTAACTAGCCAAACTTTGGATATTGGTGGGAGGTGAAAGTATATGCCAGATGAGTCCCTGGAAGTGTGAATTCTTGACTGACAGCAGCTGACTTGTTCTAAGCTGCAGGCCAGATAAGCACTTTACATCATGCAATCTAATCTGGAAATGTTAAACTGGCAAACATGGTAACATCACAAAACTCTAGGCCTGAGGCGAAAAGTGTCTTAGTGACTCTTCAGGTTCACGTGTGTAGCTGTCTTCCTCTTTTTCTCTTCTTAAAACCTCTTCCCAGCGCTTCCTCTTACCCGGCATGCTAGCCCTGTCTGAAGCTGTCACGAAAAGCTTGTGGCTGGCTCTGTTGTCTCAGTGTCAGGGAGAGTAGCAAGGAGAGAGAGAGAGAGAGAGAGAGAGAGAGAGAGAGAGAGAGAGAGAGAGAGAGAGAGCAAGCACAGGCAGTCAGCCACAGGGTGGACTCACTGTCAGATTCTACCAACAATGGTCTTCACCTCTAGTCCTAGTATTAGGAGACAGAGGCAGGAGGATTCCTGTGAGTTCCAGGCCTACCTGTGCTGAATAGTGAATTTCAGGCCATCCTGGCAACAGAGTAAGACCTTGTGTCACAGAAACAAGACACACCAAAACAAATCCTTTGAACTTTTCCATTTCCTTTTACTGAATCACATGCCATTTTATAAACAATATTCCTTTTAACTACCTGGCCTGTTTTTCCAAAAGGGAAAAGCCTTCCTGCCTTTCCAGGTATATTTTCACTCACCTGCTGAGTATGAGTGAACACGTCTAGACTGATTTCTTTGCAGATGAATGAGAACTGCTGTGATTTTTTTCGGGGGGGAGCGGGGGAAGGGAGGTGGTATTTTTAATTTTAATTTTTTGGTTTTTTTTGAGGCAAGGTTTCTCCATGTAGCCCTGACTGTTCTAGAACTCACTTTGTAGACCAGGCTGGCCTCAAACTCAGATCTACCTGCTTCCGCCTCCCGAGTGCTGGAACTAAAGACGTACACCACCATGCCTGGCTTTTTGCTGTGTGATCCTAAGCTGACTATCATGTGGCCACGCCTTCCTAAAGAGCTGAGATATGCCGTGACTGAAGTGGGGAGAGTCTGGTAGAACCTTGAAACCTCTAGAGGTGAGAGGTCATAGCTGGGGTGGCTCCCGGGGGGCGGTACCAGGAGATTTAAGAACAGGTATTATTAACATCAGAAGCAGTGCGTCTGTGTTACTGTCCAGTTTAGTTCAGGCCTTAGAAAAAAGAAAAAGGTCCTTCTTCTCTCTCCTCTTTTATTTCTCACGACTCAAAATCCGTGTAAATGCTACAGATAGTTAGAGGTGGTTCATTTGGAGAAAAGAGGCTTGTGTGTACAATTCTTAGGACCCGACCACAACCTACAGTTTTATTTCATGGGAACTTCCCATACCCGACCCTCTGAAAAAGTCTGTGAACAGTGGTCCATTCTCAGAACATTGTACTGGCGTCAGGCAGGTGTCTGTCTGAAGGTCAAGTCCTGTCCCGGTGGCATTCAGTTCACGGTGTAACCCATGATCATTCGGCACTGTTAGAACCTGCCTAACTGGGCTAAAGTTCAATAGTCCACATAGAAAGTAAGCAAGTTCTCAGCCCCCTCCCCCTAGGACTTAGAATCTACAGTGTTGTCATGGGGGAGGAACAATCCCTGGAAAAGAAGGAAAGACACTCAGAGCCCTTACCTTATAACACAGAGAGGTCTGTGGTTCACAGCCCTGGAGAGAGTTCAAAGCTTTGAGTGGAGGAAGGCTGTTTCTACTGTGCCAACTCCTGGTCAACTGCAGCTTACAATTGTGTTGTTTGTTTTATCTTGAATCTGCTTTGGAGTATGAAAGTATACATATGTTTTGAATAAAAATAAAATTGTTAAACATAGGATTAGATTAGAATAATTATTAAATAATTTATTTTAAAGAAAATAGCCTGTGTTTATAACTCATGCAGGGATAACAACACTCTCGTCATTTCATGTGTGTGTGTTTACAACTTTTCACGGGGTTTCTCAGCAAGCCACAGCCAATGAAAAACCAATGTTTGGTTTTCCAAGGAAAGAATCTGAAGAAACATCTTGGCTTTAATAATCCTTGTTTCTGTTTAAATATTGAGTACAACAGCTCTAACTTCTGAAACAACAGAAGGAAGGCTAGGGGTGTAGCTCAGTGGTAGAGCGCTTGCTTAGCATGCACAAAGCCCTGGGTTCAATTCCCAGCGCCAGAAAATGTCTGCCTCTTTAGGCAGAAATGGCACACAGGCAGTAATGAGCTCCATTTTTACCAAGCTCAGAGAGCGTGTTCATTGCTCAAAGGAACACACACTTGGTCTTTTGTAGAGAGAGGCCAGAACCTGCTCTTCCTGTGTCTGTGAAGTGTCCTGGTACCATGAGGCACGTGTTACCACATGGCCCCATTTCTTCCCTGGCAGAGTATCTTTGCTATGTGTGCCTTTCTGTTCACAGGGACGGAGGACTGAAGAGGGCAAAGGTGAAAGATACCTTCAAGGAAGAACAGCAGAAGAATTACAGCAAGATGATTGTGGGCAATGGCTCTCCCAACCTGGAGCTGGACTGAGGCGCCGTGGATGAACTGGCTTCCCAGAGCTGGCCTTCAGACGGGAAATTTTATAACATCGTTTGTTGTACTGTTTTTTGCTTGTTTATTGTTAATCTTTTCTACTGGCTGATTGTCTCTACCTCTTCACACCAGAGGCAGAACCCACAGGTGCGGGGGTTGGGGGGGCGCCCCCTTTTGACATTTTTGTTATAGTGTTGGTTCAATGAATTGTCAGGCGGATTCTTGAGTGGAAGCAGATTCTGCCTTTTGTAAAATGGCGTGTCATTGATGATTGAATGAATCTTTGTCCGCAAACCAGTGCTTCTAGAGCGTGTTTGGAGCTTGTTAATAAGGTAATTCTCAAAAACAGCTCCACACTCTGTAATTTGATTCCCTCTCCCTTTCATTTCATTTTTATTTTTATTTTATTTTTTTGAGATAGGGTCGTATTTATGTAGCCTAGGCTGGCTTCAAACTCACCCAGGACTGGCTGGGAACTCTTCACTGTTCCCGGATCCACTGCCCAAGTGCTAGGATTCCAGGCAGGTGCCGCCACCCCTACCCGTTGGCGTCAGTGCTGTAAGTGCTGGGATCACACCACAGCACCTTCCCATGATGGCCACAACTATGGCTGCATTCTGCTCTAAGGCTGAAGGAAAAATGGAGGGTCATTTTTAGGGGAAAGGACAAATTTGTGGTCATCTGATCTGAAAGGAATGGAATGGAAATGATTTTTTCCTCGAGTGTTACGAGAGAGATGTTGATTGGTTAGACTCGATTAAGAACCGTGTAGGAGTGGTGTTTGTTCCCACAATGTGGTTCATCCAGCCACAGTGGGAAAAGCACCGTTAGTTTTTCTTGTTTGTATGCTAGAGATCTCCTTTGTCTTTTTTTTTTTTTTTGTAGCAAAACATGTTTTTCAAAGGGAAGAAGCCTTTAAAGAAACAATCACACTATCTTCAGTATGAAGAAGCTTGCCTCCCGCCCCACCCACCTCACTGTAGTGATTTAGTCCCAAGCGTTCCCAGCCTTTTAAGCAGAAAACTAAGTGGTTTAATTACCTTTTGGAAACTGAGCCTTAACCTTTTTAAAGGGAAAACTAGCATTCTCCGAGTCCAATAGCATGAGCAATATTTGATAGCAATATATCACGCTGTGAGCTCTCGAGGCTGTTAGCTCAGGAGTAAAACCCTGTACAGGAAGTGAACTGTCTTACTGACTATGAATAAATTTTATATTTTTAAATAAGTGTTGCATTATTCTTCCTTTGCTCTGCTCCCCCCCCCCCTTTTCCTGTAACAAACAAGGGTTTTTGTTTCAGTGACAAATTTTATTGGATCATGCGCTCACTAGTTTTATATCAACTGGGCACAAGCTAGAGTCTTCAGAGAGGAGGGAGCCTCAGTTGAGAAAATGCCTCCATCAGGTCGGGCTGTAGGCAAGCCTGTGGGGCCTTTTCTTAATTACTGATCAATGGGGGAGGGCCCAGCCCGTGGTGGGCGGTGCCATCCCTAGGCTGTGGTCCTGGGTTCTATTAGAAAGCAGGCTGAGCAAGCCATGAGGAGCAAGCCAGCAAGCAGCACCCCTCCTCTGCATCAGCTTCCGGCTCCAGGTTTGTACCCTCACTGCTTTGGATGATGAACTGTCATATGGAGCTGAGTGAAATAAGCCCTTTCCTCCCCAAGTTGCTTTTGGTCCTGGTGTTTCATCACAGCAATAGGGACCCTAGCTAAGACAGCCCAGAACACCGGCCACCACTTTCTTTCTCACCTTGGTTTGTGGCCTCGCCATTTGCAATCTGGCCCTTGAATCCCACCTTAAACAAAGCCCCAGGCTGGGGGTATTTTGCAGGTGAACTCAGGCAATCACATGTAAATGACTAGATAGGCAGGCCTGGCACGCACTACCAGTACTCCTCTGGATGATTAGATCCAAAGGAAACTCAGCACGGGTGCCCTCATGTCCAGTGGGTGGTCTTCATGTCCAGTGGGTGCCCCTCTGGGTCTGTTGCTTAGGTTTTATCTCTCCCTAAAGCCGGAGCAGGGTGATTGTGATGGAGAATCAGCACATACAACACTGCTGAAGTGATCCTTTGATTTATTTATTTATTTTTTTCTCAGAAAGAGAGGTTCCTGTTTCTTTTTACTTTTAGTATTCAGTAAGGCCTGAATTACTAAATCCATTTCATGTTCCAGTTCTCAGAAAAGTTGCTGTGTTTGGACACAGATAAAATGTGTCTTTCATAGAGCGTGTGAGGACAATAATAATGCTGGCACTTATGCTAGTTAATGGCATGCTACCTCAGTCAGAACGCCGCTCAGTCTCTAGGACTCCCATCTACATTAGTTTCTGACTTCTTGCAGGATGGCTTTGCTGTTCAGTGTGTTTTTGGAATGCTAATGCTGGTCAGATTTGGATCATGAACCTTAGAACTCTCCTATTGTTAAGCTTTTTGTTTCGTTTTGTTTTTTGAGGCGGGGTATCTGTAGCCCTAGCAGGTCTGGAATTCACTGTACAAACCAGGCTGGCTTTGAACTTAGATCAGTGTGCTTTTGCTTCCTGAGTGTTGGGATTAAAGGTGTGCAGCACCATGTCTGGTCCTAATACTATTTCGATGAAAAAAATTTCTTTGAGACAGGGTCTCAAGTAGTCCAGACTGACCTCAAACTTGCTCTGTGGCCATGGCTGACCTTGTGCTTCTTATCCTACCTCTATCTCCCAACATCCTAGTGCTGGGATTCCAGGCTTGCACCCCCATACCTATTTATATTATTGTTTTGTTATTATTATTATTACTACTACTATTATCATATGCAGTGCTGGGGACCCAGTCTGGGGCATGGTGCATGCTAGATATCCACTCTAACTGAGCCGTCTCCCCAGCTCTAATATTGTTTTAGAAATACTGTGCTCTGTGGGGTGCACACCTGAGTAATCCCAGCACCGGGGAACTGGAGACAGGATCAGAAGATCAAGGTCGGGGGCTGAAGAGATGGCTCAGCAGCATGTATCAGACAGTTCACATCCATCTGTACTGCTCCAGGGGATCTGGCGCACACACCCACATGTAGGTACACAGACATAATTGAAAATAAAAAAGTTTAGGTTCATCTCTGGCTACAAAGTAAGTTTAAAGCCAGCCTGGACTATAGGAGACCTTTTAGAACTGCTACTACTTCTGTTTTCAAAGCTTCACTGGTCATGCTTGGTATCCCAGCACACGGAAGGCTGAGGCAGGATGATTGCGGTGAGTTTGAGGCTGACTTTGTCTACATAGTAAGTTCTGGGCCAACTTGGGCTGTGGTGTGAGATTTCATCTCAACTGCAACTGCACATGCAGAGAGAGGCTGGGGGAGAGGGGGGTCCAGTGTCTGGTGTTTCTGAACCTTCATTACCGTAAATGAGGTATCAAGGGCTCAGTAGAAAAACTCCATCAGATATGGCCTTGCACCTGAGCCTCCTGTAGACTTATTATCTGGGCTTTGAGGTTGCCCATTTTTCATTCGAGCACTTGGTCCTGGCTGTGTTTGCAGACAGCAGGTTTGAGGAACACTAAGAGTATGAACACAGTGTGTGTGTGTGTGTGTGTGTGTGTGTGTGTGTGTGTGTGTGTGTGTGTGTTAAGGAATCCTATAAATGTCTTCAAATTAAAGATGGGGGTTGTTGGTTTCTTGTGAGAACAGCTGTCTTCCGTTTGGTTTCTGAAGTATGGTGTTACCAGCCTAAAGCTCCTGATGGATAGAAGGATGTGGTGAGAGATGGGCGAGGCAAGGCTACAGTCTGGGATTGGCACCTTAGATTAGGTGCCCTCCAAGGTGAGTCTCTACCTCTCCAGTTGTGGATTGCAGCTGTCTGATGTAACATCAGTTTGTTCTTGATGGATTCGTTACTGTTTGGTGGGTTTGGGGATTTTGGTGGGGAGGGGACGTGATGGTGAAGGTGTATCCAGCATGCATTTCTGTTACCCAGTGTCTGGGCATCTGGCTCTACATCTGGGGATCAAGTTTTCAAGTCAGGGAGGTTCTCGCAGCTCCGGTGAACCCTTTGCCCCATCTTTTGATTTCTCTGCCTTATATTTTTGAAATGAATCCATGTGGTGCTCTAAGCCTTTCATTCATTTTAATTGCTAGTAGTTTTAAATCTTTGGTGGGGTGTTATTTTTATTTTTATTTATTTATTCGCTTGCTGTTACTTAGCAGCAAAGTTTGACACAAGCCACTTGTCTTGCTCACATTTGGAAGTGGGGATGGATGGTTTCTACCTCAATCCTGTCTTTTAATCTGGATTTGGCTACTGTTTTAAGAGCGAAAAGAGTCATTGCTGGTTTTATTGTGTTTGCTTTTTTTTTTAAACAAATTATTATTGTTTTGAGAAGGAGGGTCTCCTACAGTCTATAGTCCAAGGTGACCTCAAACTGAGGTTGACCTTGAACCAATGCTCATCCTATCTCCACCCCCCCAAGGGCTGGGATTACGGTTGTGCACCACCACACCTGATTTTATGCAGTGTTGGGGATCAAACCAGAGCTTCAGGCATGGGAGACAAGTGCTGTGCCAACTGAGCTGCATCTCCACCCTGTTTTCAAATTAATAGTTTCCGTCGGGCAGTGGCGGTGCACGCCTTTAATCCCAGCACTCGGGAGGCAGAGCCAGGCGGATCTCTGTGAGTTCGAGGCCAGCCTGGTCTACTGAGTGAGATCCAGGAAAGGTGCAAAGCTACACAGAGAAACCCTGTCTCAGAAAAATTAATATTTTGCTGAAGAACATTTTTTTTTAACAAGGTAAGTGAGGTACAGGAAGATGTGAACTACCACATGGAACTCAGGAGGTTTCCACACAGCGGACACAGAGACCCTGTGGCAGGAAGCAGCTGAAGGAAGCTGCAAGGTCTGTGGTTTTCTCCTTACAGTGTCAATGGCTCACTGACCACGAGCAGGGAGCCCCCCAGTCTGTGAAGATACTCCTGTGCTGTGAGTCTCCTGTGGTTCTGACTGTGGTGGGAACCTGATTATCGTGGGAACCATCTTTGATACACGCATCCCTGGCTCCTGTCTGTTGCTAAAACCAAGCACCAATTGAGCTCTGTCCGACCTTTATCAGAATTCTCAGTGCTGGTGTATGTAGCTTTAGGGATTGTTCCTTCAGAACCACAATTTTGCTCAGGACATGAGAGGAAATGACTCCGGGAATCCATCCCTATTTAGAAAGTTCTGCAGATATTTGGTTGACCAATGGTGTCAAATGTTTGAGAAAATGCAGCTTCACCTAGTCTCTGTGGAGAAAGAGCCCATGTGAAGGTGCCATGTTAACTATTACATGGATTTTAGGCAAGGCATATCTGGGGTCAGCCTGTTAGTCCTAGGGTCTATGCTACTCCAGGATAGACTGTAGCTTGACCATTATTTTGCTTAAACAATGGGTAAATGCATCATCATCACTTCTCCTTCCTTCATTGGCTGGTCCACATGACTGATAATTTTGAAAATGATAGTCTGGTTAATTCGTGTATATTCTTCTTGACTTGGATGCCTCTAGTATATTCTCACGGTTTGGCATAGGCATTACATTTCGGAAGAAGTAACAAGACATGCGCATCCTTCTCACCGCATCTTCTTAGGTGGTCCATGCTTCCGTTTGTTCCTTCAGGAGGGTGTTCACTCCTGGCATTTGATTAATATAAATTGGTTATCTAGTACTACTATAACAAGATGCCAGGAATGAATTTCTCACAGTTCTGAAGGCCAGAAGTCAGAGGTAAAAGTTTGAACATGGCTGCCTTCTTATTCACCTTGCTTTTCTCTGTTCTCTGTGTTCTGTGTGTCATCTCACCTCTTATAAGAGTTGTGGGGAGGAGGGGCTTCCTGTGCTGGGTTAGGACCTCAGCCCGAGTTGTGAGGAGGGGGACATCATCTGGTCTGTAGCAGGTAATGTCTGCTGAGCTTTCATACTGTGAACTTTATCCTTCCTCTAATAAGAGTCATTTGGGAGGAGATATTTGAAACTAAGTATCCACTCTGCAAACTCCTAGTTCATCTCTTCTTGCTTCATACAGTACATTAAAATCCGTTGTCCACATTACTTATTTTGATGTACAGTTTGTCTCAGATTTGACCTCTGGAGCCCCTAGCTTTTCTGTCTTTCTGAATAGCCCCAGACTTGGTTTCCTTCAGTGGAAAATGCTATGTAGAAGCCAAAGTTTGTACTGGTGTATGCACTGCTCCTGGGTGTTGCTGTTCTCATAACCCTGTC